GTTTATCTCTTTTATCTTGGGGCCTGATCCAATTAAATAAGTGCACATTTACATTTGCATCCATCAGGCGGGAGCGCTGAGAGCCCAGGGTTTGCTCGGAGCAAATAAAAGCAGATTTCTCTGGGAAAAAAAAAAGTGGCGTCTGGGTGCGCGGGGCTCGTCCCGGCGCCGGAAACGAGCACGGCCCCGCGGGGTGGCCTTGCGAGGCTGAGGTTTTGCTGCCCAAGGGAGACTAGAGACCCCCTCATCCCCACCCCGAGTGGCCGGAAAGGGCAGTCAGCGCCGTTGGGTGCAGGCAGAGCTGCAGCAGCCGGGTCCCCGCGAAGACCTTCGGTTAAGCCACAGCCTGGGCCCCACCTGGTGCCCCGGATCGAGGCGCATTTAGCAAGAAAACGAAAAGGTGATCTGTTCCGGTCAGGTTACAAAGGGAGACTGTGGGGTGGGTCGAGAAACAGTTCAGCAGTTTGGCTAGTTTGGGGAAGGTCCCGATCGGACCCAGATTCTTCCCTTTAGAGGCCCAGCAACGAGACCTGCGAGGAGCCAGACAAGGGGGCCCGCCCCGGGCTTCCCCGCCAGTTAACGCCTGCTGCCCTAGAGGGGCGACTAGTTGATAGCCCCGTTCGCCTTTCTGAAGGCGAGAAGGTGACCACCTCCTGTTTTTGCTCCGCGGTTCTCGTTTTTAAACCTGCTTTCGAAATAGGAGAATTTGGAGCTTTATTGGAGGGCACTTTAGTTTTTCGTTCGGTTATGCCTGTCCTAGAGGTGGCCAACCCCCAGGTCCAAAGCAGAAATGGTCTTGGGAAGGGGGCGCGGTGGCGGGGTAACCCCGGGATAAGCTGAGCAGCCAATTAAGCAAATCTTGAGAGTCCGGAGTCGCCGCGGCGTGGAAAGGGCAGCAGCAGAAGCCCAAGCGCGCGCACCTGGGTGGCGCGGGAGTTGTCGCTCTCCTCCCGGGCTGCGCGCGGCTGCGGCCCCCACGGTGCGCCCGCTGGGCCAACCGCCGGCCGATTTCTCCATTGCCTGCAGCCTGCTTTCTGAGACCGTTGCCGGGCCCTGGAGCTTGCAACTGGTTTTAGACGCGGGCCCTGCGGTGCAAATCCCCAAAGCTAAGTGGCTCCTGGGTCCCCAACCAGGGAGATGACTGTAGCTGCTTAACTTTGACCGGCTTTGGGGATAGGGGTGGGGGGTGGGGGTTCAGAGTTAAGGCCCGGCTGCGGGGGCCCGGGGCCACCGACCGGGTTCAGTCTAAACTCGCCCTCTACGATCGGCGTGACACCCCGGGACCAGTAGGCGGCGCCCTGACTAAGCTGCGAACCAGACCCGCTGAGAGCGCAATCACATTCCTTTCACTTTGGGCGCTTTGCAGAGCGCTGTTCCCAGCCTCTGCCTGCGTGGGTGCATAGTTGTGGGGGTGCACAGGTGGGCCATGAAGCACCGTCTATGCTGAAACACGCGCGACCACCCTGCCGGCTCACCTCTATAATCCAGACTCTGAGGAAGGCTGCACACATCTGGGGTATGAGGGCGGGGGGGGGGGGGGGCTGGAGAGCGAAAGACCCCCCGGAATGTGCAAACCCGGAGGCCTTCTTGCAGGCCTTGCACCCAGACATTGGGAGCTCTGGCACCCAAGTCAAGGAGTGCAAAGGGGAGAGACACCCCCTTACACGCCACGCCTGCGCCCCCAACCCAGCCGCAGTCTCTCCATACCCGCCTATTATGCCCTCAGGAATTAACTCTTCGCTGTTCAACCCTAAATACCACCATGATCTGATTCCGCTCCTCACCAAGGGGGAAGGGAGGGAACGCAATTCATTCCTGTTTGGCACTGCCTGGGGCGGGAGGGAGCTAGCTGACTGCATAGACTCCCTCCCTAGAATCCTGCGACCCCTGTTGCCTGGAATTTGGTGCCCCCAGCCTCACCTCCGGGCTACTATATGCTATAAACTAGGCGCTCTTTAGGTGCGGTGGCCCAAGCAGCCACCCAGCCTGGCGCAGGTGGGTAAGTCCGGCGCAGCTCGAGCACAGAGGTTTCCTGGACTCCGCTTTGCGCGCCCTCGGCGCTCTCGTCCAAACCTTCCCACCAACCCGGAGCCGGGCTCCCGCGGGAAGGTTTTCCCCAGCGCCTTCCAGGCCATCATCCCCGACATGGCCCAAGAACCATGGGCCGAGCTTGAGGCTCTAAGAAAAACTCGGGTCCCTATAGTTATGCCACCATCTCCGGGAATAAACGAGTGCGACGTGTACTGAATGCTCTGAGCCATGAACTGCTCCTCAAGTCGCCCCTCGCTCACCCACCTCCCACTCCCGCTCCCCCAAACCAGAAACACCACTGGCCACCGAAACCCAGGTCTGCAAAAGAGAAAACCCCAAACTTCACTGGGACTTGCACTCAGGACGAAGTATGCAAAGAAGTCCTAGATCCTGCCGCGGCCCAGGGCTGGAGGGATGCGGACGGTGGGACAGCAACCCGGGCACCCTCCTCCCAATCCCCGTCCCTGGCGGTTTACTCTTCCGGGCTTGGGGACTCCAGCTGCCGCTTCTGTCGACGGCGAGAAATGCTCAAGGCAACCCAGTGCGCAGTCCCCGTTCCCAGGCGGCCCTGCGGGCGTTCGGCTCGCAGCCTCCAGCTTCTGCTACCCAGACCCCGGAGGTCGGCGCCGCGTCATTTGCATATTCCCGGGAACACGACGAGGCTTGTAATTTTCTTATTTCATATCCTTGGGCAAGGACCTGAGTGATAGTACAGCGGGCAAGGCGGTTGCCTTGCACCCAGCTGACCCGGGTTCGATCCCCAGCAACCCATACGGTTTTACCCGAGCACACAGTCAGTTGTAATTTCTGACTGCAGAGCCAGGAGAAATCCCCTGAGTACCCCCAAAGAAACAAACAAAAATAAACAAAATAAAGTCGTTGGGCAGGGTTTAGGGCCAGTGTCTTCAAAACCCCGCCGAGTTGATGTTCTCCCTTAAGAAAAGGGAACTGTCCATTCTTTTTTTCTTTTTTGAAAAAGAAGTGGCTCCTGGGGTTACATATTCAAACTGGTGGGGGGCAGTGCTGGTTGTGAACCGGGCCGTAGGTAGGGGGGCGGGGGGGGGGGGTAGGGCATGTCATCTCTGGAATTCAATTGTTTTTTAAAATCATTTATAATTAAAGGGACAAAATAAAATACGATCGTCTCATGCATATTTAATCATTCACACTTCCAGCTTTGAAACCATTTCCCTGCATGAATTTTCTCACTCATTTAAACTCTGAAGTCGACCGCTGTTTGCAAAAACATCTGGACAATGCAGCTTTCAAACTTGTTTTAAATTCGAAAAGCTGAATGCAGCTCTGTTGCCTTTTTTTTTTTTTTTTGGTTTGGTTTTGCTTCGCTTTAATAGCAAAAGTGAAAACTGAATGAAAGTTGGGGGGGTGGGGAGATGAGTCTAAAAAAAAAACCAAGCAGGGTTCAAGTCATCTTGAGTAGAAATGCAAATATGTGCATTTTGATTTAGCCTAATTAAACCCGTGTTATGTGCAAACACACCCTCTCTCCACTCTGACTTGGGTTTAAGACAGCAAATTAATTTCCTCCATGGAATATACTTTTGCCATAAACCCGCCCCTTCCCTGGACCACTAAAAATTTCCCACGAAGTCAAAACTCAGGTGGTCCCAGTTTCCTGCATAAAAGGGAGACGTGGGGCCACAAGGGTTCCCGCTGTTCTCATCCTCTCTGGGGATTGGAGACACGTTCTGACTTTTCATTTTTAGATGGAACATGTGGAATCAAGAGAAGAAATCAAAATCTCCAAAATTCTTCTGCCGCCTCTGAGAAGGAAAAGTGCTAGAACACCCACCAGCCTGCTAGTCCACCATGGCCTCATCCTCTACGCAAATGGCTGAAACCCTGAAAGGCCACTTGCCCCCCAAAGGGAGGGGGAGTCCCTGCGGGGTGAATGTGGAGTGGGGGTGTCTTGGGGACCCTCTGGGTTTCCATAGCATATCCCAAGCGCCTGTGGTGCTCCCTCCCCCACTGCCGCCCACTCTCCAATCTCTGGCTCTGCCAAGTGCAGGCTTGAAATTCGGGACAAGTGTGACACCTACCTGTGAAAGGGGGGAACCGTCCCCTCTTGGGTCCCCCGGTCCCAGCCCCACGGCTGCGCGGGAATCTGCCCCGCTGCCTACCAGCCCGCTCTGTCGCGGATGGAAGGAACATTCACTAATTTAATCAAATCCAACGAAGAGATCAATGCCTAATTTTGAAGGGGTAGAGAAGGCAGCGCCTTGGGAAAGCTTTCTCCTTGGCCTCCCCGAACGCTCCCCCCCCGCATTAGTCCACAGCACCTTTGAAATAGTAATAAGGGCTAAATCCGGCATAAAATCGAACTCATTAGCAAAGTTCACCAGCTGATTGCTTTGCATAAAACACGACACTGATTGGAAGTAATTAGGTTAAGCGATGGCGCTGGGGTGCAGAGTGTTTCTAGCTGCCTTTGCCATGTTGTCTCCCTTCTGGGCACAGGCTCCCGTCTCTCTCCTCCTTCCTCCGGGCCCAATCTCCTCCCAGCAGCCCCCAGTCAGTGATCAAATCTGCATTCAGGGTAGCGCCAGGCTCCCCCCAGCTTGAAGTCTAATTATGGCTTTACCCTCCTCCCCAGGTTCCCAGCAACCTTTCATTCCCCAATTCGGAAAAAAAGTTTGCCATTTGCACCTTTTGTCCAAGGCGATGGACAGTTCATTGAGGCTTCTTAAAAAGTAATGAGTGGCTCTGATTATGTTAAAATCTGTTTTAATTAAATATTTCGCATTTTACAAAGGCGGCTGCAGTTTCTCTTACTTTTTTAATCTAAGAGTATAACCTGTTTCCCTTCCGTAATAATACTTTAGCTCATACCCAGAAAAATCAATAGGTGTAAAAAATTAAATTAAACTTGTATTTTTAAACTATGAAACACTTTGGGGGGGGAACACAAATGTATATATTTATATTACAAAAAAACATTAAATGCCTGTACAGGTGTCTTATTTTCATAATTTACTTCAAAGATATTGAATTATCAATTTAAATACAAAAATGCTACATTAAATATACAGAATAAGATTTAATACAAATCCTTTTTTTTTTAAAGTTTTTCTTTTCGGGTGGTTAAGACATTTTTATGTGTCGGAGATGTTTACATTTTTATGCCTTCCATCTCCATGAACTAAACTTTTTAATAGGAGGGATAGTGTTTTTTTTTCTGTCTCTCTCTTTCTCTCTCTCTTTCTCTCTCTCTCTCGCTCTCTCTCTCAGTTGATGGAAATATAACTGCCAAGGCCATGATTTTATAATAAATTAGCAAAGTCCGGGACCGCCGCAGCCCGCGTTAAATGTCGGACATACCTTTCTTCAATTCATAGGGAGAGTCTTTGCACAGGTCTAGCTGGGACTGGCTCCGCAGCATTTTCGGGTCTTTAGCCAAAGCGTCCGCTCGGTTCAACACGGTCTGGTTTAATCCATTGAAATGCGAGCCCGGACCGGTTGTGGGGCCCGGCCCGGGGCCCGGGTGGCCGTGGAGGTGTCCGAAGGATCCATAGTTCGTGTAGCCGGGATAGAAGGGCGCCGTGTAGTAGAGAGGCCGGGACAGCACCGTCCCGCCTGGAAAGGGACACTGGGCCGAGGGCGAGCGCGACGGCGCGGGGCCCGGCGACGCGCGGCTGCCGGCTAGCGCTGGCCCGGCTCCCGGCCCGGGGCCCGGTGGGCACGGCGAGCCCTCGCTCCCGCCGCCCCCGTCCTTGACCTTGTCCGAGGAGGTGGCGATCTCGGCCAGAGACCACAGTTTGGGCTTGGCCAGCACCGCCTGCGGAGGCGGCGGCGGCGGCGAGTGGATGACCGAGGGCCCGCCGGGCGCCGGGGGCAGCTCTCCCGCGGCGGGGTGCGGGCCCGGGGCCGGCGCGCCCGAGGAGTAATGCGGGGCCGGCTCGTCCGCCAGCCGCGCCGCTGCGGGCCCGGCCGGGGAGGGCCCGGCGGCGCGGGGGGGCCCGGGCAGCGCGTCCAGGCGACCCTCCGAGGGCGGCTCCTTAAAATCCGAGTCGCTGAGGCTGCCCTCGGTCTCCTTGCCGGCGGGGGGTGGGCGGCCCCTGCAGCCGTTCGCAGCCCGCTGCCGCCTTCTGCTCCGCGCCTCCTGTGGGCGAAACCCGGGCGGTGAGAGGCGCCGAGGCCGGCCCGCGGGGGGCCCAGCTCGGCCCGCGAAGCCCAGGGCAAAGATCCGTCCCCGACCCGCCACCTCCGGACCCCGCGCGCCCTCCCGCTACCCTCCCCGCCAGGTTCCAAGCCCCCTTCCCTCGGAGACTGCCCCGCCGCGCATCCCTTTCCCGCCTCCACCAACCTGCTTCGGGGCCCTCGGGGTCGCCCTTGTCCTCGGGTTTCTGGGGCTCGTCTTCGTCGTTCTTCTCCAGGTCAATGTTCTCCTCCTCTTCCTCGTCCTCGCTGCGGTTCCGCGGCGTCCACGTCATCTTGTTCTCCTTCTTGAGGCGCCGGCGCGCGTTGGCGAACCAGGTGGACACCTGGGTGAGGGTCATCTTGGTGATGATGGCCAGCATGATCTTCTCGCCCTTGGTCGGGTAAGGGTTCTTGCGGTGCTCGTTGAGCCAGGCCTTGAGGGTGGCGGTGGCATCGCGCGTGGCGTTCTTCCTGTATGCGGGGTCCCCGTACGGGTAGGAGCCCAGGGGCGCGGCGTAAGGGTGGTACCCCAAGGAGCCCGCCATGCCCGGGCGTGTGGTCGTAGGGCGATCCCTGCGGGGAACAGGTAAAGAGAAGGTGAAGAGGAGGTCATGGTCCCCACTGCCACCTGGACGACCCGAGCAAACTTTTCCCTGCACCGGCGGGGCTGTGGGCAGCGGAGGCCCGAACTCTGGCTTCCCTCGGGGGTACAGCTGGAGCCTAGGTCCCAAGGGCAACCCCTCCCCCTTCTCAGAAGGCAGCGGGGGCGCCAACTCCTGATTAGGGGTCCTTGGTGTATAGGGGGTGGAAGGTGTCCTCAAAGCCGTCTCAGTCTCGGTGCCACCCTGCAGGTCCCCCGCGCGCAGCTTGGGTCACGGCTGTGCCAGGCCCTGCACCCAAAGAGGCCTGAGCGAACGCAGCGACTCTATGGTAAGCTCAGCGGCCCAGACTGCCTCTCTACAGGCGACCGGGAGAAAAGGGGTCGATCAAGGGAAGTCAAGGGACCCCCTGCCCACTTCCAAGCCCCCAGAGAGAAGCAAACCAAAAGCTACGCCTCGTCCCAACGTACCCAACCCCTGCAAAAGTGTTTCCTCATACCGAAGCTACGGCGCTTTTCCAGAAAGCACACCCGGCCGAAAAAATCCCGGATGCACCGCAAATCGGCCGACTTTTCAGAAATTTAATACCCCCAAATCGGATTGCGAAGATAGGATTACGGATTTGCAACATTTTGGAGGACTAATTAAAGGCGAGGCCAAACACATTTACATAGACTTAGCACGCCTCTGCTCTGATTTCAGGTTCATTTCTTTTGAAGTACTTTTCTCTCCCCCCCCCCCCCCCAGCAAAATCAATGATGATCATGATCATCATCATGATCCTCATCATAACAGAATTTGCAGGCCGGCCTGCAGCTCACGTTTGAAACGCAGAAGGTGCTCTTTAATTGCAGCGACCTCTCGCCCCCCCTCCACCTCCAAAAAAAACCACAACCTTTCCTCCAGCTCAGCGACCCCAGCAAGACGAGGCTCTCTTATCTCCGAATAACTCCTGAGCTCGAGGCCCGGGCGAAGCCTAGCGACACCACCGCTCAAGTTTGCACGGGCAGCAGCGACGCTCGGCCCGGGCGGTCCGCGGGCGCCGCCGAGGCCCGGGTCCCCCCGCAGCGCCCGCCCGCCCGCCCGCCTGCCCCGCCGGCCCCCGCGGCCCGCGCGGCTCGCGCTCACTCACCACGTACGAAGAGAAGGCGGCGGCCGCTGCAGCCGCCGGGTCGGCGCCGTACTGGAGGTGCGAGTTGTAGCCCGGCGAGGGCGCCGTGAAAGCGGTGGAGCCGGCGTAGGGCGAGAACGCGGAGCCGGACGACGAGCGGCCGAGCTCATCGGTGCGGGGCCCCGAGATGACGCTGGTGCTGTAAGCCGGGCACGAGTAGAGCGCCAGCGAGGCGGACGGCTGGTACAAGTAGCCCTGCGGGTAGGACATGGCCACACACGGGCATGGGGCGCGCCGCTCCGCGGCCGCCAACGAGCCGGGCGGCGCCCTGCTAGGGCGAGCGGGCGGGCACCTGGCCTCCGGCTGCCCCGAGCCGCCGCTCCTCGGGCCCCGGCTCCCGGGTTCCGGCCCGCGGCGCCTCCTTGCTGGCTTCCCGCGCGCCTCTGGCTGCGACCGCCGAGCCCCGCTGCTCTGCGCGCCTCGCTCGCCCCGGATGGCTTTGCCTCCCCCCCCTCCCCACCTCCTCCTCCTCCTCCTCCTCCCTTGCTGCTTTCTCTTTTTTCCCCCCTTGCTCTTTGCACTGGGGGGCTCTGCTTTTGGCTTCGCAAAGGTCCTGCCAAGATGCTAAGTTGGAAATTGAGGATTCTGACGCCTTGTGCGCGCCTGAAGCTCCTCCTTCCCGGGGTGTAGTCGGTGGGAGGACTGGCAGGAGCCTCTGGGCGGCCGCAGCCAACCCGGCCGCCAGGCGCGCCTGGCCCTCTCCCTCTTCCTCCTCGGCTCCCTCTCCCGCTCGCTGGCGCTCCCCTCGCCCCTCCCTCGCGCCCGCCTCTCCGGCGCGGCCCTCCTCTCCCCCCTCCTCTTTTTCTCCCCCCCTCCCCTGCCCGGTCTCTCTTCCTCTCTCGTTTGCTCTCAGACTCTCGAGCGCCGGCCCCAGGATGACAATCACATCCCAGGCGCGCCGAGCTCCAACTTTCTGCCGCTGCAAGAATGTCCCGGGTGGAGCAGCGGTTCCGACGCACGCACGGCGGGACCCGGTGACCACGGCCCGCCGACTCGGGAACACAAAGGCCACGAAGCGGCAGATCGCGCGCCCGCGAACGCTCGGCTCGCTCCTCGCCACCGTAAATCGCGGAGTTAGCGGATTTCTGGTTAGCCCAGAGCCCGGGCTCCCAGACAGATCGCCGCCCATCGACCCCTTGTTTCTTCGCCCCCAAGAGGGAGAGGGTCCGGGAGCTGGAGAAAGACTCGGTGACTCGAAAAGAAGGTCCCTGGGAGCGCCGGGTGGACGCCCGCGTCCAGGGCGCGGGGACTCGGGGACGACGATCCTTCTCCGCCAGCAGCAGCAGGTGGGCGAGATGAGGGCCGTGGACATCTGCACGTCTGAGTTCCAGCCCTCCTTCCACCGAACCCCTGCCAGACGGCGAGGGAGGAGACGCCAGGGACCCCGGACAATGTGGGTAGCTTTGTGAAAGTAGTGGGACGGAACTGCAGATGGACACCCCACCCCCACCCCCCCGCGCGGGTCTCCGGACCCCACTAAGCCGGCGACCCCCGACACTTGCCATGCCTGCATGGCGCTCTTTCCGAACTTTCACCCTGCCAGGCCCGTGAGGAGGTGGAATCCGGGTCCCTTTCCCGTTCGCAAGCACTCTCACACCCGCCCACGTTCCATTGCAAACACTCTCCCAGAGCAGTGCCCAGCCCAACCCAACCACTGTTTGCTCAGCGAGGCGCTGGCAAGACAAATACACACACACACACACACACACACACACACGCACACACACACAACTGAGTCACACGCAGAGCCCTGGCCCCCACGACGGTCACGCACTTAGAATACAAAACAGATCCCTTTTCTTTTCTTTCTTTTTCTGTTTTTTTTTTTTTAAGCTCGGCTGTCCACATCGCGCCGCCGCCAGCAGCCGCGGGCGCACTCGAGCTGCTGGGACAGACAGGGGCGCTGGTGAACCAGGACGAGGGCGGGCACCGTGATGGGCGGTACCGCCCCCCCCCCCACTCCCCAGCTCGTTTATATCACGAACGCCGGCCTTTTTGACACTAGGGTCACGTGCACGTCGAAACACAGCTGTGCACAGAGTTTTCTCCCAACCTTGACGGCGACGGGCTAACAGGCACTAGCTCCCAGGCCCGCGCCGCAGGACACCCGCGGACCTAACTAACTAACACACCGCTCGCGGCCCCCGCTCGGCGGCGCGAACTCACGCCGGGCGCGCTGCGCTCGCTCCGCCCCGTGTCAGTTCCCACCCCCTTAGGCTCCGCCCCCACGCCCCCAGCCGGCTTTCTCTCGGGCCCGCCCCGTCCTAGCCCTCTCGGCCGGCACCTCTGATTGGACGCCGGCCAGCTCAGGCCCCGCCCAGCCGCGCCGAGCGCCCGCTCCCCGCCGAGCCGCGGCGCCGAGGGGGCGGGGCGGGGCGGGGCTTTGGCGCGCTATTGTCATGGAGACGGGAAGCCGGCGGTGGAGGTGGCAGCCGCAGCCCGGGCTTGAAGTGTCCTGGCGAGCCGGCTGGGCTGAGATCGAGGGGAGCCCCGGTCCTCCCCATACACACGCCCCTCTCCCCCCCACCCCTCCCCAGTCCCGTGACTCCCGGAGCCTGAGAGGGGAAGGCAGAGGTGGCCCGCGGAGACGGTTCCCGGAGCGCGCGGGGGGCTCCGCAGCGGCGCGAGCATCCCCGCCCCGCTCCCCTCTCCCTCTCTCTCTCTTTCTCCCGCCTCCCGCGGCCGACTCGGCGCCGCAGCGCCCGCCCCCGGCTCCGCCTGCCGCCTGCCGCCGTGGCCCCTCGCGCTAACGGTCGGGAGCGGCCCGCGCGCGCCGCCCGCCGGGGGCTCGCACCAGCCACGAGGGAGCGTCCGCGGCCCGCGCGTCCGCGCGCGCGGCTACTGAGAGGTGAGCCCGGGCGCGCCGCGCGTGCAGCCGAGACCCCCCCGCCACCGCCCGCCACAATCCCGCGACCCCGCGCCGCCGACGGGACGCGGTCAGGGTCGCCCCAGGGCAGGCCTCTCTCCCTGGGTCCCGGTCACGGGTGGGCGGCCACGTGGGCGTGTCCCTTGCAGCCACGCGCGGCGCCTTCACCTTGTCGGGATGGAGGGTTGCGGGGTTGGGCAGCGGGGGTGCGGAGGGAGGGGGATCCCCGGGACTGTTCGGGGCGAATGCTGGTTTCCGAGAGAGATGGAGCCGTTAGTGGTAGGTGGCACCGAGAATGTGAATCTGTCACCCAGACATCCTCATTACATCATCCTGCCCCCACCGCATCCCGCCTCTCCCCCCCGTAAGGGTCCTCCCCCTACTCCCCAACACACTTCCCTCCTCTACTGTCCGCTCTTCTCTTTGGGGTGTCCAGGGCTGGAGAGAATCCCGAAAGAGACTTGCGGCTGCCTTGAGAATTTATGGTTCCGTGGCCGTGGTTGTCACCTCCGCTCTGCGTCAAATTTAAGGCTCATTTCTTAAGGATGTCTCTATTTTCTGCTTTATTTGCACATTGATGGCTCTGCTGCTGCTCGGCTGGCCACAGCCGCCCCGGCATCCCGGGTAGACTCGTGTTAATATAGGAAAGGGAAGAGCTGATCATCCGCTAGCCGACCGCGGCTCAGGGAGCATCTGGCAGCGTGTTCGCGTATTTTTAAAAACTAATTAATTGTTATTATTATTATTATTTTTAATGTGAAAGCACTCACCTTTTCTCAGGTCAACACCAACTCAGAACTTTTTTTTTTTTTTAAATCTTGGTAGTGTTGACAAGGCGTTCCCCTCTCCCACCTTGCCTCCTTTTATTCATCAGTGTTTCAGTCTGGGGGGAGGAGGGAGGAGGAATCCTGCTTGCATGTTTCATTGTAATAGTTTCTCTGGTTCTCGGCAGAGGTGGCAGCTAATGTGCCTCTTAACTCCAGGTTACCAAGAAGACTATTTGGGGGCAAAGGAAGGGGGGTGGCCATTACATTTGTTTTCTTTGCAAACATTTTAACCTGACACTAGGGGTGGGTGGATATGCCCCAGTTTTTTTTTTTTTAAGTGCGACTTTAACATTTTTTTTTTCTAATTTGAAAAGCTTCCTAAGGGTTTGTTAGCTTGTCATGTCTCACCATGCATCCAGTAACTTTTTACAGTTTGAAACTGTTCAGTAAGAACCACAATTGGATCACCCAGATTTGGCCATAAGAGCTTGCTCTTCAAGTTATGACTGCACAGTTGTCATTGTTTAAGTCAAGCGCAGAAGAGGTTATTCCTGTTTATTTAGTGTAATAACTGTTTATAGTTAAAACTTTAAAGACTCATAAAAAGTAGGTCTGCTGTGTTTTAAAGATCTCATCATTCTTGTGGGAGAGACACAACACCCAGTTCTAGAAAAGGTAACAGATTGCTTCTGTCATATAGCTTTGCTGTTTTGGAGTGTACTTAAAGGATTATGATTGATAAGGCTGTCTTGCCAGAGAATGTTGACACAGGTGTGCGTCGTTATCTTAATTAAGATCCTGAGAAAATGTTGTCTATAAAATGGTGACACAAGAAGGGCGGCATATTTTTTTGTATAGTTTTGCTCCAGGAGAATTTAATTGAGTCTGAAACCTGGCTTTGCACTTCCAGATTTTTGTGAGCACTTTGGCAACAGAACTTCTCAGGGAGAAATAATAGTTTAATGTGAAGTGTACTGGCATGTCCTAGAACTACTTGTGGCTTTTTGGCAATGCTTTGTCGGCTTGCTTACGTGGTGTTTCTCTCTCTCTCTCTCTCTCTCTCTCTCTCTCTCTCTCTCTCTCTCTCTCTCTCTCTCTCTCTCTCTTTCTCTCTCTCTCCTCTCTCTCTCTCTCTCTCCTCCCCCTCTCCCTCCCTCTTTTTGGTGGAATAATGATTACTAATTTAGAAAGAAAAGCACATACAGAGCAGGCAGTATATGATTAGACAAATTTCTATTAGTGTTCAAACTGAATCTGCAAAGGAAGGCATGCTTCCTGTGCAGAAGTAGGAATATAGTAAAAAGGTAAATATAAGAGAAATGTACGCCACTTTAATTTTTGAAAAAGTTTCCTAGGGTGGTTTAAGGATCTACAAACAATTCTGTTTTCATTTCACCAAGTACTTAGGCACATTGTTTATGGCATGCCTTGTTTTTTTTTTTTATTTCCAGCCATAGAGAACTATTTTATCTCTTCCAAAATAGTACTGTGTAAATTTGAATTGATGAGCAAGTGCAGGAGTGCATTTGGCCTCTTATTAGTTTAAGGATCTGAATCATAATTTGGGTGACCACTAAAATAATATACTGTCTTTCAGTTCAAATCTTTGAATACGAAAACAATAGCAAAACGGATGCTGTTGATGACATTACCCTTGGCTTACCCAGCACCTAATACCCTTTAACATAAGTATTGCATTAAGATTTCCTCCCCTCCCTCTCTTTGTAGCTCATGGTTTCCTGGAAGCTGGCTGTCCATCAGGGTGTGTGTAAGATGTGTGAGTGTTTTTCTTTAATATTAAAATTCATTGTAGGAGAGGAAATGAAAGTGGAGGAGCCCATAGGCATATGATCGAAGAAGCCAGGTGTAGAGTCACAGCTCATTCGTGACTCCAAGGAAAATTAGCTGGCTAGAATTACATGGTCAACTAAAATCAAAGACAGACTCATTTATATTTGTTTGCTGAAACTAAAACAAGAGCATTAATTTTGAAATAATTGCTATACTTACCCCCTAGTTCCCCCATCAAAATTCTTTTTCTAGCAGTTAAGATCAGTATCCCTCAGCTATAATTTATGTGTTATTTTCAAATGTATTATGTTGTGTTCAAAGAAATGAAATAGGAACGAATTAAATGCCTATTGTTGATTTGAACAAATAAATTTTATGTTGTTATTAAATAGATCCTTATATATTGGTGAAGTCTTTAAAAATGTGAGTTATTCTTTTACTGATAGGGAGACATGCAAATGAAATCATGTAATGCTGAGTGAGTTAAACAAGTTCTTTAAAATAGATTTATAAAAACAGTATCAAATTTTGGAATAATGTTTTAGCGCTGAGGTCTACGCTGTGCAGTAATAACCCACTATCTTTGTATATTTCCCTTCAATTTCTATACAGTATTGACTCTTGTATTTTTAAACATCTTGGCAGTGTATTTGTTAGCTATTTTATAGAGAAAAGATATTCTTAATAGAATAGCAGCAGATACAGAAGAAGATGTACAATCATGGACTTATTTTTGTCTATTCCAATTATTGACTCTTGTTTGCTTTCATAGTGCAGCTCCAAAGTATGTTACTTATGACTTATTTCTGCATAAATATGCAGCATTTTTATAGCAAGAGTAGACCTAAAGCACCAATTTAGCTTGGCAAATTCACTTAGATGCTTCAAAATTGAAAACTAGTATATTCTAATGTAGTTTGAGTGTAAGTCTTTATTAGTGAGGATGCACTTAACATTTGTTCAGGAGAAGAGAATATAATTTTCTCCTGCAGCTGTCATTTATGTAATCCATTTTTCTAGCCTTTTCTCAGGCTAATGATATTCCACACCTTGATACAGCCTTTATTTGTTTATTTGCCATAATATGGAGTGATACCTGGGAGAAAATTAGATTAGATATTCATATCTAATATCCCACACGTATTTAACTAGTTTTCTGTGTTTCCTTGAACAGAATCGTTTCCATTTTCTGTGCAGGTGATAAGTATGATGCTTCCTTAATACATTTGGATGTTTTCTGCTAAGTTCACTTCTGAAGTATGGGCTTCCTTCAGATTTTGGCTGAAATTTGTCTTGTAATCCCCATGTTCATCTGCAAGTGAGTGACCCCATCCCATGCAGTGTGCTTTGTGTGGAATAAATCCCAAATAGCATCAGTGTGAGTTTTACCAAAGTATTTATGTTGGTTATGAAGCCTAAGTACAGAATGTAGAGAATGTCTCTTAAGACTTTTGATTCTTAAAATTTTGTTAATGCATCAGGGGCACAGTAAATAGGAAAAAAATCAGAGTCATGGAAATACACTGAAGAATGTCTTTATTTTCTAGTTATTCATAGTGAAATGTATAAATGTAGTGCTTTTCATAAAAATCAAAATAAAGCCATGGTGTTTCATAGACAGAATTGCTGTTTTAAAGAACTAATCTGTTTATACCAAATTAAAAAATTCTCATTATTTTCATTATTTACCTGAGTCTTTTAAGTTATTTAAAGAATATATATGTACATATGTGCATATATATTCATATGTATATATGCATTCCATCTGTGGGTTCCAAGCTCTTATAATGACGAGAAGTATACATCTATGCATAAAATTGCCATTTTCATCTAAATAGGGGCTGTTGGATTCAAAGAGATGAGAAAAATTCATTTTGCAGAATATCTGTGCTGTCTAATGGACAGAGAAAGAACTAGATTTAGTGATGGAGAACGTTTTGTTAAGTAAAAATAAAGCAGTTATGTGACAAAAATCTATGCTAATATTATAGACAACAACTATAATTTGTTCAGCTTTCAGTAGAACAAATGTTTCTCTGTGTGTATTTTCAAAGACATTAAAGTGATTTTTTAAATGCCATATGAAGTAATATATAATTGTTTGCAAATAGCACGCTTGTGTTCCCCTGTGACTGATTGGGTTTTATGGAGATGGGATTTCATATATGACCAAGAGCTGAAGCATTGCGGCAAGTTAAAAAATAAGCAACACAAATATCAAGAGAATGTTAAGCGGTGAGCAATTTGATTCCTCTTTGTTTGCTTTAATCTTAGGGATTTTTTTTTTCTTGTCTAAGGATAAAATAAGGAAGACTCTAAACATCTATGTAAATCAGTTGAATTGTATTTTTGTGTATCAGCCAGAATTTCTATTTTATGTATAATAATGGTATTCAAATGTGTTATAACCAGTATTCCTTTTATATAAAATAGGGTTATGTGGTGGGAGGAGAGGTTCTTCACTATTAAAAAAAATGAAACAAAAATATGCTCTCAGAAATGATGGCTTATGATTGATTAACTGAGGACATTGTACTGAACATTCTCGAGTAGAAATAGTCAGAATATGCTTTTTGAGGACTGTATCATATAGGAAAAGGAAACCTGAAGTATTGCTAATTAAACTGGAATTCTACTAAGGGCAGAAATGGTAGGAAAGATGACACTAACTCTTGCTGTTGTTTATTTTTAAGAATCTGCAGTTCATAATGGAGCTACTCGACTGGCTATTGGGAGGAGGAGATTCTGAAGATAGGGAGGTAATATTATCTCTTTTGAAGGGATGCAGTCTCTACCAATCTTTTTTACATATAAGAACTTTTTATCTCGTAGATAGAAATTTCTTTAATTTGGGATATGAAAGCAATTTGATTTTCATTTGGTAAGTTTTTGAGCTGCTTCTCCTAGGCACTGGGCTGTGCTGGGGAGTGCTGAGATGTCCCGTGGAGGCATACTCAGCACCCTTAAAATAGCTTCTTTCTGAGAATTAGGTCTCTGATGGTGGCCCACACAGTTGAGTAGGTGTCATTTTAATTTGTGGTTGATGTACGTGTGTGCATTTAGCATGTTGCTTAACTGTCCTCATTTACCTCCCACTTCTTTGTTGCCCTCTGTGAGGGAATGTGCTCTCTGCAGGGCGATTTACTGCCAGGCACCACCAAACACTGAGTGGGAGACTTGGTGGTTGACAACTGGTTCCAGAACTCTGCCAAGGAGTTAGCTGGGCCCACCCTGGGCCCAGCACAAGGAGACTGAAAGGCAGTTCTTACCCTCGTTCATAAATTTGGGCCCCCTTTCATTCTTTGTATAATCCTAGGCTATGGGTAATACTTTCCTTTTCCTTTTACTAGGTTGGCTTGTTGCTTATTTTGCAGCTGTTGTGAGGTTTACATGCAATGGAGTTTCTGTTTTGTTTTTTTTCACATAGTATCTTTGATAAGTTACTTGCATTCTCTTTCATTTAAAAAAATGTAATGTTGCTCTTCAAGAATGATCTGAGGTTCTTGAAGAACAAAAATTGTATTTAATTTTGTATCAATAAGATAGTTTTCTATCTTCTCATACTGTTGCCAGATAGATTATGCAGGTTTAATTAAACATGGAGTAAGTACCCTCTTGTAAAGGAATTATTATGTTTAAGAATGTTATATATTTGCCTTCTAAAAGAAAAATGATGTTCCTGTCATCAAAAAATGTCTACTCCCTGGACTATATCTTTGGGGAAGATTGATAGAATAATCAAGGGCTTCATGTATTTAATTATGTAATTAGGGAATTGGTAAGCAGTATGGTATAAAAAGAGCGAGTGTACATTGAGAAACAAAAACCTCTAAGAATGTTTGATCATTAAATCAAATAATGTTTTTGGTTAGTACAACATGAGGGTGAAATATACCAACGTCAGATTCTTTTATTCATGCCTAGGAAGAGGTTGGAAGCAGTTGAGGAAGTCATTAAAAAAATGACAATATCAAGGTGATTACTTGGAACATCATATACATTTGCAACATTATTCAATATTATGACCATGACCAACTTTTACACTTTCATATAGTTGGGTTATTACTCTGGTTTTTGAGACAGTCTCTAGTATAGACTGTCTGTGGTATAGCTTTTATATGAGATGCAAGAGTATTTTTGAATGATTAGGTCTTGGTGATTATCTTAAATAGGCTATAATATTACAAGGTTGAAATGTAATATTTATTAATAGAAGGAAATATAAAATTTAATATCTGGGCAACTGAGACCTTTAAACCTACTTTAAAAGTATAATCTTGACATCTATGACTCTATTTTTTATCTTTGTTATGTTGGTAGAATTATGGATTTTCTATAATCTGAATATCTTATGTATTAATTCAAAATTTTATTCCCTATAATGGACTTTTAAAATAAGGGCTATAGGTGCTTTCGAGAATAAAATTTTGAGTCAGGAGCTAATTTATTAAGCACCAGTACACAGAAAAGCAGCCGTGATTAATTCTGAACTGTGAAAGGAGGTAGGTAAAGCTGTTTTCAGCTGAAATTTACTAATGCAGCAACCATTTAAATTAAATGTTTGTTAACATAATAGTGATGGCATTTTCTCCTCCTCCTCCTTGTGGTTTTGTCCAACTAGATGTTACAGTGGCAGTTGCACTGACTGTTAAGTGTTTAAATGATGACACCATTATGTGAAGTGATTTTGAAATGAGAGATTCCAGCCAAGAATTACATCTGCTCCCATCCCCTTCAAATCATACTCTCTGGCAGTACAGATTATGATTGATTTGTTTGTGACAGATTGCAGGAAACAGTCATTGATTTTTCAATATTTTACCTTAAAATTATTTACAGTTGTAACCATGGGGAGGTATTTCCATGGGCTGTCAGCCCCTGAAAGACTAGGATAATATTCCCTGCTCTCTGACAAGACAAATTACCTGTAATGAGTGCAGTAGCTGAAGGGTATACTTTTATTTTAAAATATGTCAATAACCCCAGTGACTAAACGAATATTGATTTAGCATAATGAAGCCTGAGTAATGTGAAAATGAGCTTTTTCAAGGGGCATGGTAAAGACTTTCTTTTTCACTGGTTCTAAGAAGCTTTTCATTCTTTTTAACTTGCTATTGGAGATAAGGAGTTTATATGCAAACCATCAGGAATGATAGTGTTGTTTGTGATAACCAAGGTTCAAATATTTTGCCCTGGCTTTTTATCGATTCTTTTTCAAATCTTATTTTGCGTCTTACTTTGAGTTATAGAACAGCTACTGATTTGCTTGATGTTATCTTTAACCAACTTAATATATTAGCAGTTTCATTGTATTTCGCATTAGAGCCTCTGATAGTGAATATTAAAATATAGCTATATATAAAGTCATTTGTAGATGATATAATAATTATCTACAGACATTTCAAATGTGCTATTTTAACATTTAAGGTACTTTAGGATGGTTCCTAGTTTCTGGACGTCAGATTGCTTTCAGGGAATAAAGATAAATTTACTTAAGTCCTTTTATTTAGGCATTAGTACATGTTTTTATTTTTGTTAGACTTGTCCCTTTTAGAAAAGGTAATTATCAACATTTTTGTGGATAAAAATTAATTCACATAAGTCCCTTCAATAAGAATGATAGTGAAAAAAAGAGAACGCTAATTTATAGACCATCAAGGAACCTGAAGATTTTATGCCGGAGTATTTCCATATATCTTATTTGGCTAGCAGAAAACAGGGTAAATAATACCTATGATATTCAGCAGAAAATGGAGTATTTGAATAAGATGTCAAAAACCTATATTTCATAGTAGGCGAACATATTTAATGAATACTAAGAGTCATAAAATCTTATTAAGTGCAACAGATAAAATCCCTTTTATAAATTTAAAATGAGTTACGATTTAAAGAAAATTCAGGTGGCTCATTGTGAGTGCTGGTTCTGATAACATGGCATTGGAAACATGGCAAGAAAATAAAAGATAGAAACATTTTTAATAGGAAAAGGATCGGCTCTAGAACAAAAATTATTCTTTTTTTTTTCCAAGGGATTTGCCTAAGGGTATGACACAGATGATCTCTGCCACTCGTCTCTAGTTGTGTCCTGCAATAAACTGGATGCTTTATAAAATACAGGTCCCTGGCTTCAGTGCTGTAGGGTTTTATTTCTCTTTTCTCTTGGCCCCCAAGTGTTCCTCTTTTTTTCTATAAAAGAGCCTTGGAAAGACAGAAATATGAAAGATGAGCCATCATCAGCTATAAAACTGATAGCCCTAATTCTTCAACCTTTAATTTAGTTTGTGGTTTTTAAAAGTTGATGTAGTATCCATGGAGCTAATGCCTTCCAGAAAAATAATGGACATAGATATTTTCCTTAAGATTTTTAATGAAGCTTTAATTTTTTTCAGACAGATCTGTGCTAGGAAATTTGAAATGCATTTTGTTTGTTCTGGAGTAAAATAATAAATGTATAATGATCAGCACCTCTTGACCCCATCATTTATTTGAGCTTGTATGTTTTACAGTATAGTATAGGGCTGTTTATATGAATTGAATTTTAGGTTTAATTATAAAACTACCTAAAATAAATTAAAGTGAAATTTTTTTCTGGGAAAATTGTTCTCCTTTTGATACTATATCTGTCTTCTTCCTTTGGAAAAAATATCCTGCCTTAGTTCTCCTTTAGAAAAAAAATACTATTTATATAAAGTATTTTTAAACCATGAAAGTCATTGCCTGGGGTTGATTGGTTAAAACATTAATTTTTTTGGAAAGGAGAAAATGCCCCCACTTAAATTTTTTTCTTGTATTGGTATCTATTAAGATAAACAGTTTACTTTGCTACGGTACATACCACTCTACTTAATTTTTTTTTTCAGAATTTATTTTTCTGTGTTTGGTCTGACCTTTTATGATAACTTAATATAGGAACAAATTAGCATATAATTCCATTTTCCATGTGACCTGAACCAGTTTCAAAATTGTACCACAACTTTTGGGGGGGGGGGGACAATTTGATAGTTTGCATACACTCTAGTATTAAGAGTTTGCGAATGTCTAGTGCATCCGGACTAGTGTGTTATCAAAAATGTTTTAAAGTAAGCAGTTAGAGAGGAAAACCCTAATTACTAAGTTATTAAAATGCCTCTGAAGGTAGCATTTTTAATTAGTGTACGTAATTGATTAGTGATTTGTCTTCTTCCAAGCATAAAGCAGCATGGTGAAGTAAAGTGCAGTCAGTGATGTATAAAATATTAGGAATTGATAGTGACAATGATCATGACAACTAAATATTTTTTTTAGATTCAGCCATCAGTCTTTGACATTTCCTGTGGTCTGTTTCAATCTAGATGCAAAGGACATGGAAAAATCAAGTGCTCAAGTGGTTTAAATATGTTTTGGATGTCCCTATTTATAGACTACAGTATTTTTCCAATTAAAATTCTCAGTTGTCACGAAGAAGGGGGTTATGCTCTTTTTGATCACCAATTTCATCGAAAATGCTTGGTATTGTAGAGTACTACCAAACATTTTCTGTTTTAATCAAAGTATACAAAAAATAAAATCAGTTTTATATGTTGGATTGAATAATTATTTGTTTTAAAAGGGTGGTTTTAAAAGAGTCCCTTTCCCCCTCAGAGCATTTCTTCTTCCAATGTGATATTATTAGAGTAGCTTTAAAATTGCTTTCTAATGTGTCTCCATTATAATTATAGGAGAAAAAAGACTTGAAAGGTATCCATATGTACATTTTAATTCTCTTTATTAGTCCCACTGGAGTAAAACATTTTCTCCTCAAACAATCTATTAGCTCAGCCCAAGACACCGGAAAAAATTTGCCTTAACTGGCAAAGCATTTGTTATGCGTTTGAACATTTGTTTTTTTGTAAGAAAGACTGCCACCCACTTCTTTCACAAGTTCCTATATTTGGGTAGTCTGAATAATGGCGGGTTGTCCTGCCATTGGGAAATTCCTTGTTGTGGTTAATGTGGTGGCTATAGGGATATGGAAACGGAAGGATCCCTCTGTGGCAAGGGCTTCCAGACTCCGGGGTGGGGATACTGTGAAGGGGTACTTGTGACCAGATAACCCTGAGGAGACCCTCAGCTACTAGTGACACTTTGGGAAATTGCTGTGAATTGTACTGTTTAGTGAATGACAAGAGCGTGTACTGGACTCACTTCTACAGTTTCTATAAAGAATCTATGTGCTGTGAGAAATTCTTAAACTCAGATCTCACGACAGTCAGGTTAGTGGGCTAAGATTTTTTTTAATTAAGTTTTATATTCTGAGGTCACTGTAGGTTTTACAAGCAGCTGTTCTAAATAATTGAGCGATCATTCGTACCTGTTGCCCAGATTCGAACATCTCAAAGTCAGTAGTATGATTTGGACTATGACATTGTTGATAGCCACGGTACATTTCCTTCACCACAAAGATTCCTCCTGTTGTCTTCACATCCATTACTTATCTCCTGCTTCCCTTCTTAGCCCCGTGATCACTAGTTTGTCCCCATTTATGGAATTTTCAAGAATGGTGTCTAGCTGGGATCTTGTAGTATGAAACCTTAGGGAATTGACTGTTTGCACATAGTATAATTCATATGCAATGCTTCACATTGCAGGTATCAAGCATTAGTTCTTTCTGACTCCCCAATCATTAGTATTCTGTCCTCTGGTTGTCCTGTGGTTAGCTTACCAATTTACCAGTTGGGATTTGGGTTTGTTTCTGGTGTTTTATTACAAATAAAACTACTGCAAACATTCATGTTCAGGTTTTTGTGTGAGCATAAGTTTTCATGTTTCTGGGATAAATACCCAGGACTACAATTGTGAGTTATATGGTAATTATTTAGAGCATTTCTTCTAAGAGTAGAATTGATTTGTGTGTGTGTGTGTGTGTGTGTGTGTGTGTGTGTGTGTAGGAGAGGAGACAAGGAGACGAAAGCACATCTTTGTGATAATGTTCTTTTCCTCAGATAGATATGTTTATGATTTTGAAACATACAGATTAAAATCTGATAATAACTTGCAACTATATGCCCAAATATACTTTCTCATAACCTAGATTTTATTAATTTTATGGATATATTATTGAAAAATGGTTTTGGGGATTAGGTAATTTTTATATAAAGGAGAGGTAGATATGTACAACAGAAAAATGCTGCAAAGCTGAGCATTTACTTGAGAAATTGGGGGAGGGGGTTTTTCCAAGTTACATTCAGGACTGTACTAAGGTAGTTTCTGAATGGACAGTATTTAGCTTTTGTTACTATCATCCTGCCTGCAGGTATTTATTTGTAGAATCAGTTCATCTGTACAACTTGTCTTCAGTAGTGTTGCCTTTAATGCTTACTGAATTAAACTCCCTGCACAAAGCAGGACAGAGACAGAAATTATAAGATGAAATGTTTTTTCTAGGTACATAGCTCCAAAAAATGCGACCCCTTAAAGTGCTGCTTGGTGGAAGAAATAGCTCTGTTTCAAACCTGAGTGGAAATGATGCTATTGTACTTACGGAGACATAGTGACATAACCATGCTTAATGTATTCTACTTTCAAATCAAATGACTTTCAAGAATAATTTTTACTCTGATTTTCTACCATGAGCTATTGATATTTTATTTATTCATTTATTTATTTATTTATTTTGCTTTTTGGGTCACACCAGCCAGCCGATGCTCAGGGGTTACTCCTGGCTCTGCACTCAGGAATTACTCCTGGCGGTGCTTGCGGGAACATATGGGTTGCTGGGAATCGAACCCGGGTCGGCTGTGTGCAAGGCAAACACCCTACCTGCTGTGCTATTGCTCCAGCCCATGCTGTTGATATTTTAGAACCTGAAAATTTAGCTTCATTTCTCTTTTGGAAACATTAGATATTTAAGAGTTTATAATGAGCCTCCAAAAAAGTCAGTATTATTAAATCTCTTAATCTTTTTGAGTAGGGCACTAGGCTTATGAGATCCTGCACTTCTAAATATAGTTTCATCTTTAGCCCACGTGGTCATGGTTGCATGATATATAAATAATATAACATAATAAAATAACCTTGCTCTTTATTTTGTTTCTCTTGGGGTCACATTCGGTAATGCATAGTGGGGTTACTCCTGGCTCTGCACTCAGGAATTACTACTGGCGGTGCTCGAGGGGCCATACAGGATGCTGGGAATTGAACCTGGGTTGGCCGCGTGCAAGGCAAACACCCTACTTGCTGTGCTGTCACCCCAGCCCCCAAATAGTCTTGCTCTAAATCATAACCTGAACAAGGTGAGAGTATGTACACATGGAATTGCTAGAGACCACCAGCTATTCATCCCTTCAAGCTATTAAAGCACCGAAGTTCTAGAATTCTAGGCTCTGGGAACAGAATAGCACAATTCTAAGTTCTGTTAGCGTGTGGTTCTTTTAAATCCTTTGGGAAAATAGAAACTGAGTTAGAGATCAACATGATTATACATTACTAGAAATCCAGAACCTTCATAATTCAGCAGAGTTGAATCTGCTCTGCAGCCTTCACTGAAAAAGGCCTGCTGGATTTTTGAAGGAGACTGTGGTGATGCAGAGGAGGGGGAAGGATGTCAGATAGGAAGAGGGAAATGGGCTGGAGTGTGGTTTGTTGAAAGTGGGGGTGGAATCTGGTCTGGCTACAATTTCCTGGTGCATCAAAGGGGCATGTCACTGCTCAAAAATATACTTAACAGTTTCCTATGTTTTAGAAATGCAACAGAAACAACACATGCTTTTTCAAAAGAATATTTGAATAAAATTAGTGGATTTGAATGAAAAAATAAATCGCTGCTCTTCTTCCTAAAAACTATGAGAGAAGGAGAGAGAAAGAGATAGAGAAGAGTAAAACAAAATATTTTCCTCCTTTTGTGTTTGAGAAAGAATAAGATACTGTATGCTTTTCTGGTGTCTTAAATGTATAATCTATAAGGGTATAAACTTTTCAAAGTTTTGTCTATTTTAGGCTTAAAATAACAAAAAGTCTTGAGATCTTGGAAGGGTTCCAAAATTTAAATTAAACTACAGTATCATGCAGGAAAAAAAAAGTTACATAAAGAATACATTTGTAAGATTTATGTAGAGTGGTGGCTTTACCAAGAAACTATTTTGATCAACCTAAAAAAAATAAGTATGTGCATTATTTTTTGTCACATTCAAGGTAGTAAGAAAGCTAAATCTCTAGAAATTTATGCCCAATTTATGAGGCTAAAGTAGGAAGCTCTAATATGACAGCATCCATATTAGACCTGGGAATTTAGAAATATGAAATGTAAGGGTCTGTTAGAGCTTCTTTGAACTTTTATAAATCATATATTTGATCAAAGTGGTTGTAAAAGACATTAAAATGAATATACTCAGGATTTTGTATGTAAATATTGATTTCAATATCCCCAACAGTACAAACTATATGGTATTGCCAATGAGGAGGCAAAAAATTAATTGTGTTTTGTGAAAGAATAACATTAGGTTGGTGACTTAAGAGTTCTTACTGTATATAATGACCAAGCATTATGGAATCATAATACTGTTTATATAGCAGTTAAAAAAATAAAACAGTGCAATTTTAGACCGTTAAAAAAGATTTTTTTTTACAAATACAGTAAATCATAGGTTTGAACCCACTAGACTTCCTGACTCGACTGTGATTGCTGTATTCTCTGTATATATTTTTAAATACTAGGCACTTTATAATTTTGTCTGTAATTGTTTATATATTTTTTCCACAAATGTTTTAGAACAACTTATGGCTAAATTACCTTAACCCAGTTTCCATGTTTAAACTCCATGTATGAATATATTGAATCATCAGTTGCAAGATACATTAGTAGGTCATTTGATTTTTTTCCCCCAGGAGCTAGCTGCCTTCTTTAAAATACCTTTCAAACTCAATGCATAAAAATAGACAGCCACTTCCACTTGTAGGCTTTTGAAGTTGGAGAAGATTTCTTTTCCAAATGAAGAAACCAAGTCCCAGGAAGATGAAATGACTTGTTAGTAAAAGGGATAATGAGAACCTTTTGACTCCAAAGTCAGTGCTGTCTGCTTAAAGATGCTTGTCCCCAATTCTGGAAATTTCATTTCCTGATGCTGTACCACAATCCACTTCTTACTAATTCTCTGCAACTCAGAAATAGATATCTGCTTGTAATCTTAATATGTTGCGATGCATTTTGAAACAAAATGAAGACACAAGTAGCAGGTTTGAGTGTGTGAATCCCAGCACTGGATTTTTTTTTTGTAATTGGATCATTGATACACTGTGAGATACACAGTTACAAGGCTGTTCATGATCTGGTTTCAGTTATAAAATGTTTCAACACCTATCCCTTCACTAGTGTACATTTCCCACCACCAATGTCCCCCTTTTCCCTTTTAACCAACCCCCCAGCCTGTCTCTGTGGCAGGCACTTTCCTCTCTCTCTCTCTCTCCCTCTCTCTCTCTCCCTCTATCCCTCTCTCTCTCTCCTTTTGTGCATTATGGTTTGCAATATAGATACTGAGAAGTTATCATGTCAGGGTAAGAACTGCATGCTGAAAGTAGGTAGAGGAACCAGCACTGGATTTTGACCA